GAAAAATAAATATAATCTGTTCATTCATTAAGGACTCACAGGATGGAGTGGTTCCAGTAGACGCACACAGGTTTGGTCCTCTCGTGGGTCTCCAGGAGCCTGAAGTTCAGGGTGATGGGTCTCTGGAGTGGGGTGGGGAGAGGCTCTCCGTCCCTGTGGACCACCACGCTCACTACAGGAGTGTTGATGACAGGACGAGTGGGTAGTCTGGGAATGTGTAGAGCACCAGATATGAAAAAAGCACCAGAATGAAAAAAGACATTGTCATATCGGTACCATATTGGTTATCTGCCAGTATTAGAGATCTTTTTTTATTTATCTGTATTGGCTGATATTTACAGAAGAAGAATGGGGGAAAAATGCTTTGGTAAATCATAATTATGACATAAAAATCTATATTATTAGATGCTAAGTCATAATTACGAGATAAAATGTTGACATTATAACAAAAAGTCATAATATAACATAAAATATTGTCATAATTTTGACTTTAGTATGACATTTTGACTTTTCATGCCATAATTTATCATTTCGAATTTTTATCTCATAATTTCAACTTCTCTCATGATTATGACTTAGTATGTCAGAATTTTGACTTTTTATTTCATAATTATGACTTGGTATCTCATAATTTTTCCTCAATATTTTCCTCAATAAATTTGTCATAATTTAAACTTTTTTTTATCTCATAATCGTGACAGTTTGTCAGTTTTGACTTTCTGTCACATAATTATGACTATGTCATACTTATGACTTCTTATCTCATAATTTTGACTTCTATATCTAATTCTATATCTAATTATGATTTACCAAAGCATGTTTCTTTCTTATGTGGTGAAAATGGGCTTCCATAGATATTAGATACTAAATTGTTCATGCTCATTTGCTCTAATTTTACATTTAGATTACCTTTGCTGTCATCTAACACTCAAAGTAAATCTTTAAAGCATTTTTAGCAAATCTCAAAATAAATATTAATTTTTGATACTGTACATTCTAATGTCATTGTTTCACTTTTAGCATTTAAATTTATTGATTTTAGTATTTAGTGGTTTAATTTAATATATTTAGACAAAATGGTATAGAATTTTAATATCGACTATTTACCAGAATGAAAATAATTACTGTATCATCTTGTCATATTGACTGGAATTTTAATATCGGTGCATCCCTAATTATTTAATATTACTCATATTAATTTATATTGTTTTTTATTATTTTTGCATCTCATGAATAAGGAAATCTGTTGTTGGCTGAAGTGCTACCTAAGACTGCGACGGTCCGGATCATAACTCTCTGGAAGGAGTCCACCCAGAGACCTGTAGATCATCACCATCACAACAGCAGGTGGATCGGGTTGTTCTGCATGGCGCCTTTTCTTAATGGATGGTGTTAAATCAACAGTATCTGATCCGTCCACACTGATGAAAGACTCAGTTGGTTCAATCTGGGCTGGAGGCTCCGTGGTAAAAGCATCTATAGTGTATAAGACATAATAAAGGTTAGAATAAAATTTTATCATTGCACATTTCCATGAATATTATTGGTAATATAAAGAAACAAGTTTCAAAGGGACAACCTTTACTCTTTTTCGGCAGGTTTGGGAACAGGACAGATGACTCCAGCTCTTTTGAGTACACCTCATTAACTTCCTGAAATCGAGGAATCTTGTCTTGGTTTGCAGTGGAGTCCAGAAAATCTAATGCCACAACTGGTTGTAAAGAAAAATGATACATATTTTTATATCAAACACTCTAAATTGAGCAGAGCAGATGCTACAGGATGGAGAACCCAATACTAACTCATGTTGTCAGTGACGATGGTGAAGGGTCTCAGGTAGGTCTTTCTCATGTTCTGTACCAGAGTGTTGGCGTACTCCTCAAAGTGGTGCAGCAGATGCGCCGTCCCGCCATCAGAGCGCTGTATCTTCTCCCAGTGCTCCTTGTTGACAGGGTCAAGGATGGCACTTCCAGCTTTAATGATGTTCTACCACAACAAAGAAGAGTAATGTTTATTCATACTGGACTGTAACCATCCACTGTGGTTTCAATATAAAATGAATGTAAATTAATGATAGATTTACATGCCTTCTAACTGGTTAAAGCTGGTCAACTATGGTCACTAGTTGGACCATCATGGTTAAGAGAGCTAGAGCTGGCAGGTCATCTTGGACCCATCAGATTAAACTTAAATGTGAAGATACTAAAATCCTGTTTGATTCTGTAAGTGTGTGTGAAGGCTTTGAGGTCTATACCTTGTTGAAATCGGCATCATGAGTGGCGGTGAGCTCAAAGCCCCGCTGCAGACTCTCATGCTCTAACACACTGGCCAGCAGATGATAGGCAGTCCTCACGTCATTCCCAAAAAGGCGATCCGTGTGGTCAGTGGCAGAGTGCAGCAGGCCCGCAAGGCTTTTTGATCTTTCTCCATCCATTTGAGAAGCATTAGCATGAAGATCCTCACTCTAAGTCACACATGAAGGAGGAAACATTGGTCACTTCTAGGATTGTGTAAAACGGAGTAGAATATTTAATAGTGTAGTGTACAATTTCTTCTATGACTATAATTTGGAAGTTGAATGAACTTGAATCAACCAGCAAAAGAGTGACAAACCTCTTTCTTTAGCTTTGAAAAGCTGAGGGAAGTGCAGTTGAAGAGCTCAGGTGGAAACCAACCTTTATCATCGCTGCAATGACGGATAGCTGTGCCTGTCAAACAACAAATGAGGATATATATTGATAAACCATTCAACAATAATGTAATAAAAAGATGAAAATTCCTACATACACTACCAGTCAAAAAATTGGACACATCTACTTTGCTATTGTTAGTAATTTAAATTTTTTAATTACAGTAAAATTTAGAAAATAGAAAATAACATTTATGTAGTTTATTTTATGTAGTTTATTTGTGTGTGTATATATATATATATATATATATATATTAGTGCTGT